GCCAGAGTGATGTGTATGAAGCAAGGAATTTTCCCAAATTTTAATGTCTGATTTCAAACCCACAGATCAGTGCTACCTTTCTAGGTAGAAGACAGAAAGGCATAAAAGGGCAGCTTTTTGAATTTCCTCTCTACCTTTCTACATTCCCATCCAATATCACCCTAAAAAGATGCAAACCACTTCACAGTTTTAAGAAAATATTTTTGATTTGCAGAAGAGATTGGCTGCTTTATTAAAGCATCCCATTTTAAGCTGGAAAGACCTCATCCAATAACTTTTTTAACAGCTCCAACAGAGTTTGCATGTAACCCCAGCTCCCTCAAGGTCAGGCCTTCAGATACGTCTCACCCACACAGCTCCAAATCTCAATACCAGCAGAATCACAGCATCCAGTCTTTGTAAAAAACATTATATTCACACATATAACAAATGTTATAGTGCTTGTAGAGAAAAAACTGAACCAAACAAGCTCCACTCCCAAAAAAATACAAAACAAAACCACAAACATAAGAAAACAATCACACCAGTACAGGACTCAACATAACCAGCTGAAGTCCTCTGGTACGTGCAATTTTCACATCTGAAGGAACAAGCCAGTGAGGAACTGCCTAGATTTGGAACAGGGGAAAAAAAAAACAAACAACATCAAAACATAAATTTTCTTTTGCTTCTTATAACTTTCTCAAAACTAGCTTTTGAGGAAAGGAATAGGCAGGGTCATGGATGGCACACGACTGAGGTGTTTAAAGCCACAGTTGCCCAGGTCAGTGCACACAGACACCTGTATTTACTACAGGAGAGAAGACACTGCATGAAACACTCCAGTTCGGCTGCTTGGGGATGAAGATCCAAATCCATCACAGCATCTCAGCAGAAACAGCAGCTGGAAAGAGAGACACTAAAGCAGAGCTGCTGCACACAGAGGAGTGGACACACACTCACCAGCCACAGTTCATAGCTTTGGACTGGTTAACAAAGGAAACTCAGCTGTTCACACCCGAATCATCTCATACCTCCCCACTGAAGGACAAGCAGGGTGGGTGGGGTGTGCTGCCTTCAGCACAGAGAAGGTGGGTGGTGTTTAAGAAATGCCAGAGGAGCTTTGCTAAGTCATTTTCCTCCTCTCACTTCTTTAGTCCTCCAGTTCCATCAATTAAAGTCATCAGGGCAATAAATGCCGTGAAGTAAGTTTGTCTAATTGCAGCTTAAGTAAGAAGCTCCCAGAACCAAAGTTGGACATGCTATAAAATTTTCTTGAGGTTTTCCCATGCAGCACCCTTGTGTGTCCTGCTGACAGTGACTGAACAGAGCAGCAGCAGTTCAGTAATTTCCTTTTCCTGGAAGAACAGGAAGGACTGCAACACTATTTTAGCCTCATGTTGTTAAGAAAGTATTATACTGTGAACAACTGCTCCTCCAAGCAAGTAACTTTGGACTAAATGATCAAGTTTGATTCATTAACGGTTAAAAAACTAACACCCAGCACCACCCAAAAAAACACCTACTTTAAAAATCTGTGAAATTAGAATCTAAATTTAGAAGGGCAAAACATCACTAACTTAAGTGTGGAGAAGGATTGGAGATAAAGGTACAGAAATTACCTAGAATTTACACATGAAATAGACAACTTTATAGGAAAGGGCTACAGAATATCCAATGCTCAGCTGTCCAAAGGGAGTTTATTATCTGGCATTAAAAAAAAAAAAGAACAGAAAGAAAATCAACTGATGAGAAAGAGCTCTATCACACCCACAGGACTGATGACAAAGGAGACAACATAAGTTACTCTCCATCAGCTGCCCTGCACAAAGGATGGAAAGAGAAGTAACAAATTAACACTTTCAACCACCACCATTGTAATGGAAGAAAATTACATCAAAGCACAGAAATGCATATTGGAATGCAATTGTACCACACTGCAAACCTACCTGCTGTCATTACAGGCTCAGACACCCTCTGCACCAGGAGATCTCCTTCCAGCATCCAAGATGGAAGCACTCTCTTTCTTTGAATAGATTTTGACTGTTCACTGTCATTATCGTCAGAAAGAGGAACCTGAAACAATATTTACCTTTAATATTTAAAAGGTACTGTTTAGTACCTTTATCCAGTTACAAAAGAGGGGAAGAAACTAGATCACAGTTTCTACACAGTTGCAGCCTGGGTGACCACTTACTTTTCGTTTTATAGTTCCTACTCACTCAGAAAAACAAAAATCTATAGAAACCTTCTTGCAGTAGGAAAAAAACCCTCTCCTTAGACCTTTGGAATAAATAGCTAAAAGGCTACAAACTGAAAGTTTCATAGAAGAGCTTCACCAGCACCTTACTCTAGAGCTTCCACACATAGATATAAGAGAAAGAGCAGGTTTAACAAATGCCTCTTTGTCCAAAAAACCCCAAACAATACAAACAAAAACCCCACAAACAGAAAAGTCTTGCTAAGAATTGTAGGAATGCTAGTTGTATTCCTGCAATTCCCTTCTCCAGAATGCAACCAGACTCTAAATCCTGTCTGCAAAAACAATGCAAATACACCAAAGTCACATTCATTATTTACTGAAAGCAGCACTATCACATTGAACCTCCACTTACTGACAGACAAGTAAGTGTCCACCCCAGGGATCTCAGCTACAGAGAAGGCTGACACTTCATTTGTCGTGTGCAGTTCTTATCTGCTGTACCCCAGTATTGACCAATGTGTCGCTTTAGCACTGGATACACAACAGATGGTGTTTAAGAAAAATCCCACCACCTCCCCACACCATTTATCAGACTGTCTGAAAGCCACCGGACTTGGCAGTGTTTAAAAAAAAAGACAAAAGATGCTCACTTTGAAAACTGTTTTACTGGACAGCCAGGGAAACACTGGGGAGTTGTTTATCCATGTGTTTGTATGGATCTTGACAACACAACTCCATCCCACCTGACAATCCAAATGAAACAGGCTGCCAGGACACTACAAACAGATATTACTTATAGTCAGCCCAAGACACCCACAGTTCAACTCCAGGCTCTCCTCTCTCCTCTTTCAGAGGCTTTTGGGCTGGTTGGAACAGTCATTCATTCCCCCAGGCCTTCACAGGTACTCAGGGGCAGTTACTGATATGGACCAGAGACCAGAACTGGACTTTGTTCTGTAGTACTCAGCTCCAGCACTGAGTCCAAAACACTCCTGTAATACATTTATGTACTTGCACAGCACACAGTCCCAACCAATAAAGCAACAAATTTTGAGTAATTAATTTTGACTGCAGTAATTTACCTCTCGGGGGGGAAAAAAGTATAGAAAGCACAACACCTTTGTAATTTTCAACACACACAAATAATGAATTTCATTAAAAAATTAAGCACCCACCAGATGTCTAGAGGCAGCATCATAATTTCTCATTTTTGCAGCTCCCTGTACCTCAGAGCTGGAACATGATGGTTCCATTAACAATGGAATACAGGACATCTCAACAGCATGAACAGTTGGTGCTTCTTCTGCATCAGCCTCCTAAGTTTTTTCTGACAAAGCAAAATATATTTTAGGTACTCACACATCACAAATATAAACATGCACTTTTGACTCAAACACAAAAGCTGATCTGTATGTTTGTCACTAATAAATACACTTTGAAACTGAACATCAACATCCTATTACACCAACTTACAGAGGAAATAAACACACCTTTCTTTTACCTCACACCTGAAGTATTTTGAACAAAAGACTCTCTAACCACTGCTGGCCCCACTGCTGTGGTGTTTTGGGGTTTAAGTACAGAATTTACACTGGTCACTGCCATGACAAAACTTTGAGAAAGCTGAAATTACAGCTAAGAATTTGCTTTACTGTAAATCTGCACAACTCCCCAAACTCTAGTTCTACACTAAATGTCAGGCAATGATTTTAGGATCTGGTTTTCAGGGTCAGATGCTCAGTTAATCCAGCACCTTCTGGCAAGTTCTCACTACAGGCTACAAGTCTGCAGCTCTCAGGTGCCACCAGCTACTTGGATGCTGGTTTCAAAAGCCCGGTTCAGAGCCACCACATCCAAAATGCTTTTTAAGTTGCAAAAATGCACCCAAACTGCAATTGTTTTGCCTTCAACACTTTGCCCTTCCACTACTCAATTTACTGGCAAAAAGCATTAGGGAAAAACAAGTCTTAATTGCTGCTGTATTCCCTGCACAGCCACGCTGAGCAGTCACTGCCACCTCTTCCTCAGCTCTCTGCACTCCAGGGAAGGTACATGATGACCAGCTGAACTTTCTCTTCATTGCCTCACGAAGAGAAGCATGAGAGGCCAAGAGAAGACAGGGCAGGCTCTGCCCAAAAAGGCCCCTCCAGGTGCTGTTTGGGAGGTTTTGGCTCTCCAGGGGCCAAATCACCAAAAGGGTCAGGATGGAAGGGACCACAGTGGGTCATCTGGTCCAAAGCCCCTGCTCAAGCAGCATTATCCCAGATGATGGGCACATGGCACAGGATTGCATCCAGACAGTTCTGGAATATCTCCAGTGAGGGAGACTCCACAACCTCTCTGGGCAACCTGTTCCACTCACGCAGTAAAGACAAACTCACACCGTGAGTTCTTCCTCACTTTCACGTGGAACTTCCTGTGCATCAGTGTCTGCCCGTTGCCTCTTGCATTATCGCTCTGCGCCACCGAGCAGAGCTTAGCTCCATCCTCTTGGCACCCCCCTACATATATTTATACATATTAACGAGGTCCCCTCTCAGCCGTCTCTTCTAGAGGCTGAACAGCCCCAGCTCCCTCATCCCTTCACCCTAAGAGAGATGCCCCATTCCCCCAACCATCCTCGCTGCCCTCCGCTGGTCCCGAGCGGCCCCCGCCACGGACGCGGCGGTGCCCCGAGCCCGGACACGGGGCCGCGGTGCTGCCTCTCTAAACCCCAGCGGACACGACCCACCCCGGCCCTGCGAGGGGGTGTCGCTACCTCGTGCCGGAGGCTCCGCGGGGCCGGGGCCGATCCCGATCCCGATCCCGGCAAGAGCCGCCGCCGCCGCCGCCGCCTCCTGATGACGCGCGGCCGCCCCGTGACGCGGCGAGGCGCCGGCTCCGCGGGCCCGAAACGGCGGAGATTCGCCCCCGAACAGGCGAGCCAGTACCCTCCCCACCCGGACGGCAGGGACATGGCAAGCGGACACCCAGCCCCGGGCGCCGCCGCCCACGGCCGCCCCAACACACCGCGACAGCGGCCGCGGTGACGCCGCCCCGCCCCGGGGCCGCGGGATGGACGCGGAGAGCGCCGGCGGCCGCGACAGCGCTGCAGAAGCAGGAGCAGGACCAGGAGGAGGAGGAGGAGGACAGGGGGACTTCGTGTCCGCCCTCCCTCCCGAGGTGAGCTCCCGGATTTTCGGCGGCCTGGACGTGGAGAGCCTGTGCCACGCGTCTTCGGCGTGCAAGGGCTGGCACCGCGTCATCGAGGGCAACGAGCGGCTGTGGCGGCACCACTGCCTGGCCGTGCGGGCCGTCTGCCGGAGAGAGATCGACTGCGACCGCGGGAACGGCTACTCCTGGAAGGTAAATTCCACCTCGGGGACACGGCCAGGCTTCCAGCGTGGGCGGTGGGAACGTGGAAGGAAATGACAGCGGCGCGTCTCGCCCCATCCCAGGGTTATGGGGGCAGCGCTGTGGTGACAGCGCGGCTCGGTAACCTGACGGCTGGTAAAATGGATTGAGAAGGAAGGCAAGGCTATTCTTTTTCTTACTCAGGCTGGCCTTTTTCCTGCCCAGGCTGTCCTTTTTCTTGCCCAGGACCACACCTGTCACATCCCGGTTATTCCTCACCCTGCCCTGCACAGCCTCAGCGCTGACCCTCGTCCCAGCAAAGCCGTAACACGGGACAAAGCCCATGCAGACAGGGCTGGGAGGGAGAAGATAACATAACCCTGGCTAGGCAGTGTGTGCTCTCTGGTTGTATTTCTTGGGAATAGGTGCGCTGGTTATGAACGGCTTCCTGGAAAATCATCCTGGATAGCTCTGCCTTGATACAATTTGAGTGACACGCATCCAGGAGAAAAAAGATTGGGGTATAGAAAAGAAAACAAGCAGGAGCTTTTAAAGGCTATTTTGAAAATCTTCCCTAACACAGTCCCAGTTACAGGTGGTCTGAGGAGTTAGGGGCAGGTTCAGCTCCAGAACATGCTGGATGATTTCTCACTGTTGAATCCAGCCTGGAAGCTGAGGGAGATCAGGAGGGGATCTGGTAACAGGTTCCACAGGTTACTCCGGGCCAGGTGATTCCCCCACCCTCAACTGAGCTGGTGTGTTTAAGAGCAGGAGGGCAGTGAAAGGGTGAAAAGAGAGAGAAGCAGCAGCTAAAGAAACCAAGGAAGCCACAGTTCTGGGCTCTGACATTTCAGTAGAGTTGCTGCACTGTGAGGTAGTGGTTGCCCTTTTGGTGTACTGATCTTGATACTCTTGCACAGCAATTTCCGGAACTCCCTGCACTGACTGTCTGTTTTATCTGAAGGGGATTTGAAATAGCAATAAAAGGTTGACGGAAAAGAAGAATCCAGCCAGCCTCCAGAGTTAAAGGTCACAGATAACCTAAACAGGAAGAGAAAGTGAAAGGTGTCTCTTTTAAAGAGTAAGATGAGTTCCTGGTTTAGGTTTTCCATCTTGACCATCAAAGAATTGAGGCAGGCATTGATTTTCCACCCAACTTTGAACAGAAGAGTTGGAAGTAGACCAAGGTCTGCTTCTCGGCAGCACTGCACCTTCCTGGGCTTAGTGTCTAGAGATCCAAAGGCACATTCCAAATCCTTTTTCTAGCCTTACTCTTCCAAGGCAAAACTTACTTGTATTGAATGTTGCTTAAATTGTTTCATTTCCAAGATCTGAGCAATTTGTTTTTCCACCAGATCACATTACTGAGGAACTACTGGAAAAGCAAAGTGAAGCAAGAATGGCTGAGTGGGAAATACAGCAACATTCCTTCACAACACAGCTTGCCAGAGAAAAGCATGTATCCCATGGTTGTTGACACATGGGGAGAAATCTTGGAAGCAGAACTTGAAAGATAAGAAACCACTGCTGATTCTTGCAACTCAAAAACCTTTTGCCAATGGCACACAAACATTTTGGCAGTTGTTGAACTGATTTTGAGTGATTTTTAATTGATTTTGAACTGATGATGAAAGTTTCTCAAAAGAAGTTACAGGTGTCTTTTTTTTATTTGCACTTTATCATATTAATTTTATGTAAAATTCTAAATAAGACTAATGTTCAGTTGTAATTTATATTTATAAATTATTGCTCTGCTGTATTGTCAAAAATATGTTGATTGTACTTTCAATTGGCATTTTTTCTTTTGGAAGAGATGACTTTTATTTAAAAAAAAGAAAGGTGTGTTTGACTTGAAGTGTATCCTACCAGCAGCACATGAGAGCCCACAAAGGAAGACTGGGTTACGGACAAATACAGACACTGGAAAGAAAAGAAGATGACAAGGTGGCCACCTCGCTATCAGCTGAACATTCCCAGTGACCATCTCAAGGGACAAAGTCCTCAGAAGGATCTCTGAACTTGCACCCCAGTTTTTGGCACCAACTTGAAAAACTGCTGTTGGTAAAAGAGGATGTACCTGTCTCGTTATCTAACATAAAAGTGACCACAAATTCAATTTATTACAATTCTCTTTGAGTATCGTCTTTCACTACTTTCTTTGCACTAAAGTAACTGGGGAAAATGCTGGGAAGGTCTCTCTTGCTCAAGGTATTCCTGCAAAATTCAGTCACCAATGTGGCACCAATTTTCTATAGGAAGACTTCTGCCATGGTTATGAAACTTGATTATTTAACCCTTGCAGAATATCTGGTGAAAATATCTAGTATGTTTACTCCCCTTTATTGCAGGTGTCCGGGCTCACAGGCTGTTTGTTGTAGGTGCTCGTATCTGCAGACCAAGCAAAAGACATAACAGCCAGGTGAAACAGGTAGCTCTAAAATGCTTCCAAGAACAGAATGTTGCCTGATCCTTTCTCTAGTTTAGAGCATTCAACAGATTTCCTCAAAACTGATCCATGTCCCTCAGCTTCCTGCATGTTCCCCATTAGAACAGGTCTTCAGTCAATAAGCACTAGTACCTTTTCTGAATCATGAGTAACATATTTAAGTGAGAGCTTTCTCATCAACAGCAGTGCATAACATGATGCAACTATTGGATAATGTTTTTTACACATCTTTTGTAATCTATTCTTTGTAGATGAGTGTTAGTTCTAGGAACAGGACCCCATTGCACTAGGTTTTAAAGATCTCCTTTTAGTGCCAAAAGAGTTGATGCTGTTCTTGTGGGACTGCATTAGCCAAAATGGATGCAGTACCCAAAGTTCACTGAAGCTTCTGCTGTCACCCTGCTACCAAACATGACTGAGGTGTAGCTCAGAGTAAAGAACCATTGCTAAGTATAGGTGTGATGCAAAGCTCAGTGAATTGCAAACACTGCTTCCTCTATTATTAGCTATTCTGCTCTAAGATTATATCTAGTTAGCTCAAATTAAAAAAGAAAAAAACACACCAAAACCCACACCCAGGCACATCAATTTTTCACCAAAGCTGCTGCCTCGCTCCCTGCTCACAGCATTTATCACCCCAACTTTAAGAGCATTAGAAGTGAAAAAAGTGCATAAGAATTCATAAAGAAAATAACACTAGCAGTACATTTTCACCACCTCAAAAGTACCCAATGTTTTTTAGTCATAAGATAGGGAAAACGCATAATAACGGATCTAGTCCCTCACCCTTCTCACCCAGCCTCCTCTGTTGCCTTCAGTCTCTAACTCCCAGACATTTATCCCCTATTCCTGCTCCTTTCATGCTCCTCAGCTGTCAGTTCTCCTATATATCCCCTCAGGATACAGTTTTTAAATAGAATAATTATTCTGACGTAAGTCCCACCACAGTTATTTCACTGTGCACTTAGCTGTAGCTTCTCCCCATTCTCATATAAGCGTAGGAATCCCCAGTATCTGTTGTGCCTCTACCTCTGTTCAGATCAGGTGGCTGTGCCTCTTTAAACACAAGGAATTAAACACTCGGCTGTCCAATTAGACCAGGCCTGGATCTTTAAACCTGCAGTAACAGTGTTGTAAGTTTCCCATGGAAAATCTATTACTGAAAAAAACCCGCAAGTATTTAAGTACAAGTTCTCATAAAACCAAAGGTTATTTCCTCTCTCCACTCTGACTCTTTCCTTTAAGGGTTTTAATTCCCCCTGGAGATGTCATTACATCAGTTCTGGTTACCTGTTCTATTCCTCTCTACCCCTGCACCACCTACTCAGCCTCTCTGCTTCTCTGCAGGATGGATGTGTCCTCTTCCCTTTAAAGACACTCCAGCAGCATCCATTGCTCCAGACAGTGGCACTCCCTACAGCATCAGGTTTGGGCTCAGCTCTTTCTCTTCCTACCTGCCAACACCAGCCACTGAAATGCCAGCAATAGGAAGATTGTAGCAGTGCCTAAATTAGCACTCGTACGTGGGTATCCTTCCCCAGAGAGCATCCTCACCCCACCTGCACCCCAGGGCACATACCAGCTGCCCTCACACCTCGGTGGCTGGTGAAACCTTTTTTCCGCTCCAGTGCCCACTTCTTACCCACATGTTTTTGAGGAAGTGGAAAGTTCTACTTTAGCCAACCCCACTGACCTTCCCACTGCATTGACACGTCACTTCTACCCTCCCACTCAGATGCTGTCAGCTGCAGGAAGGTCCCCGAGGCATCCATTGCCCAGGCTTCCCATCAGCCACCCGACCTTCCTGCTTCCCCAGCTTTCCTGGGACAGAGAGGCCCTTTGGAGAAAGCACGTGAAGCTTGTGTAGTGCAGAACAAATAGCAGATGTCCTCTTCCCACACACCCCAACTGTGCAACATGGGCTTAAACCAGCCAGGCTTCTGTGGGGAAAATAGGTTTCCCTGCTGCACAGAATGTCCTGAGCTGCTGCACGCAGCTGGACGTCAAAAAGGCCAGCACTGAAGTTCAACATGAGGTCAGAATTTTATTTCTGCATCTCCAAAACCACCTGTGTTATGACCTTCTTTGCAACTACTCATTATTGCAGTGCTCTATTTCTGAAACAAGGAGCCAACAGTGTGGCTTTCTTTCATCACAGTGCAGGATGTGGCTTTGGGCCATTGCCATTAAAAACTAAATGAAAAAACAAGCATGAGATATTTAATCACCACAGACTTTTCTTCATTGGACCACTCACATTTCAAGGGTAATTTTGTCAAGTGTTTGTACCAATAGGCAGATACGTGCAGACAGGTACATCGCTATGCTGGTCATCTTTGGAAGGTTCCAAGTAACAAAGTTATTGCAACTGAAGACAGAATAGTTGGGCTCAGGACTGGGATCAGCTGCTTCCGCCCACCAGGGCTGACAGAAAGGCAAGAAAAGCATACAGCTGGGAGGATTTGGGCGGTGGGGGAGGTTTTTTTATTTTCTTTCCGAATGAACTTGTGTTGAGGCATCTCAGATTCCCAAGAGCATGCTGACACTTTGCAGTTGTTTTTCACCATATCGCTCATTCAGAAAAGTCTATCTCAAAAACCACAGAAGAATTCACCTGCTGCAATTAATACCACAAGTCAGCAGCAGCTTCTGATCAGCACAACACTCAGAATTGGGGGTTGGGGGCAGGTTCAGGCCTCAGTGCTAGGGGCAAGACCTACTTCTGCTATACTGGTAAACCAAAAACCCCAAGCTACAGCTGTGGGTAGAAAGGGAAGAAGGAGAGGGGTGATGGTCAGCAAACTCAGAGATCCCACGGGATCTACCAGGATGAAACTCAAGAGGACAATTCAATGTATGGCCACAGTGAGCTGCAGCCTCCCCTAACTCCTCAGAATCACCCTGTCCAGCACTGCCACCCCTGTCCAGCAACTGTGGATTTACAAGGCCAGATGGGAATAAAAACCAACCTGCTAGAGCACGCAAATTAGGTACAATATTAGCTTTTTTTTGACCCACATTTAAAAACGTTGTGAGCACAGCACATGCTCATTTTGATGCACTGTCCTTAACAGGCAGAGGAGCTGCTGTGTACCAATACAGAGAGTAACTGCACAGGCTGTTTTGTTGCTGAGACACTAGGCACTTCAAGCTGTACACAAAGGCTTCTCCAGGTGCCACAGGACACCAGTGGCCATGAGATAACGTATCAGCCATAGCACTAAACATTGCTTTTAAACATCTCGGTGGTGTCAGAAATGAAAAACAAAAGGCCCTAAAATGCTGCCAGCTGCCTATGGGAGGATTCAACTCTAAGACTGAATTGAAGGTTGAGCAAGTCGGGAACAGAGAGTAAACTTCCAGCAAACAAACCAGCCACCTTAAGCCTTTAATCATTATAGGGGGAAAAAGAAAAATTGAAAAAGGCAAAATGATTTTTTGCAGCAGTTTCTTACAGCTAATAAGTGAGATATAGCAGTACTCCATGAGAACTTTACTCATCTGTTCAATTGAGGGAATACTTTCAATAGCTTCTACTACTTTTCTGTCACAATACTAGGAGATCCTAACACCTAGGTTTCACCAGGTACAGGATGTACTATTTGACAGCATAGCCAATAATAGAAATATGTCTCAAGTTTCCTTTAGTATGGTTGACCAAATTAAATCAGCTTTTCTAATGCTCCTTTATTTTTGAACACCTTAGTCTGTAATTTTATCACTAAATTAGACTGCTCTTTAAAGTCATTCCAGCATGCAACTTGTCAACATATGTACTTAGAGATAACAACACTGGGGACTGCCCAAATAGGGAGGTTGTAACAACACCCAATACACATAAAGGAACCACACATGTGAGCATGAGGAGATGAGAACAGGTTTTTGCTGTTCTAAGGGGGTAACTAAAGATCACACAGTATGTTGTAGCCATTCTAAAATGTCACTAGGCATTTATGTTTACTTATCTGAGATCCACTTTATGATGCCTAATAAGCAGAGACACAAGCTCTCTCTTAGGATGTTTAGATTGAAATAGTTTTAAGAAAGAAAATGCGGCGTGCGGAAGGAGGAGAAAGGGGAAATTGAAGATGTAACTTGGGAAAGAAAGCCATCCTTTAAGCAAAATTATTAATTAAAAAAAAAAAAACCACACAAAACCCCCCCCCCAAACCACAAACTAACCTTATTTTACAACTTACATACCAAAATGATGAAAGTTTCTTTTATTAATCAGAAGCCTGCATAAGAGGGTTATAGGTCTGATATAAACAACCCTTCCTGTTATTCAAAAATACCTCATAATGTTGATTTTGTTACTGTACTTTAACCATCATATATTTGGGAAACACAGCAATTTAAGCCTTCAAAAGCAGGACACCTACATACACATATAGCAGAAGCAGTGAAGGACAACAGTGGCTTCTTGGATTTCTTTTGATATGCTTTGGTGCTTAAGGAAGGATTTTTATGCTTTTCCTTTTTATGTGGAAGAAGGTACATGAAAAGACTGATAATACATTGATTTATATAATTGATACTCTATTAGTCTGCAATAGGTTGTTCTACAATATTTGATAAAGAGAAAGGGGCTAATGGCAACACTATAAAAGTTCTCAATGTCCTCTTGACATCTGAGTCTAAGGACATAGGAAGATTGGGGTGTCTAGTTGTTTGGGGCTT